ACTGACTCGATACATCATCAATGGCGGAATTACCAAGTGATGAGGTGACTCGTTCGAATTCAAAACATCTATGGGCATTGCCATGAGTTATACATGTTCCTGGAACCGAATTGATTAATGAATTAGAGATTCCAATTGAAATGGAAGAATGCAGAAAGAATGAAGCTTATTCTAGCTCTGATACCATATTGGATAAATTGAAGAGAAATGAAAAAAAACTGAAAATATTGTATATTTCACACTGAGAATTGTACATTGCTCTATATAAATACAAATAGCTGAACTAACTAATACAAGTGGCTGAACTAACTAATAACTAACTTCTAACTATACAAACTATACAATCAATCTAAGTTTGACTCGTAAGCATTGTAAGATTTGTTGGGATATTACACTGATAATGTGCATATTATATTCACAAAAAAAAATACCGTTTATATTCAGAAAATTGAAATATAATTTGACTTACCAAAATAGTTGAGAAAACGACGTAATGATTTACCTAATCCGAATACATGAATATGGACTCGTCACTTTTCATTTTTGAATGAAAGCATGTCATTGAACATTGTAATATAAACATATAAACAAGGTTAACAATACTCTGAGATCAAACTTAATTGAAATCAGAAATGAGAAAGATAAGGAAGAAGAGAAGTTAGTGATGCGATTGGCCAAGGCAAGTGTTGAACACTTTTTCCTTAAGATGGATTTGCCCTACATCAGTGCTAATGGTTTTTCGGCAACCATATCCCAAGATACAACGACCACATCGAGTCATAGGAACACTCCAAATGGCTTAGACCAACGGATTTGAACATAATTCTCTCTTTACCGAACTTATGTCACATAACATGTGAAGAATGAAATGGAATGATAATGACACGTCTAAGGGGTCCTATATATAGAGGATGAGGGGTTGTGAATGAAATGTCGCGCCCCAACCTCAACAACTCTTGTTAAAGGTCGCATCATTCACCGTTGTTAGCCTATCGCTATCGCCTAACTTGAAGGATAAAAACAGTGACTTTTTGGCTAGCCTGTCGCTCGAGCGATAGCCTAGCCATAAGCTAGCAACAACTTTAGTCAATTTTTTCAGACAACTTCCTCTATTTTTTTCCAACTTTGGATCGCAATTTCTCATTCATCCGGAATTGATTTTGAAATTCCAAATATACCACGACGATCTACTAGACTAGTAGAACAAGTTGGTCTATTTACATTTGTAATTTGACCATCGAATCAAGTTCGAATATCTGACCGAAGTTAATATAAAAGTCACTTTTCCGAGTTTTTGGCTTTGACACTCGACCAAATTTTCAATCTTTTAACAAGCCTAACAACCAGAACTAATTCCAGCTGGTCTTTATCGTGAGCTTGCTGCTTGCATACTCTATTACTCTCCATCTCTCAACGTGTAAAGAGGTCACATTCGAAAGAATTGTTGGGATAAAACTTGCAAGAAAATTAGCTAAACGCAGCCGTCTAACATACACGAAATTAGCTAAACACAGCCGNTAACATACACGAAATTAGCTAAACACAGCCGTATAACATCCTTATGTATCAAAATACTTACATCCTGCAAGTTAAATCTTGATTAGTGATGTCAGAGGCTCAATTAAATTGTTGTGTCCTTAAACAATTATATTAAGAAAAATAATCTACTAAGCACCATTATTCAATTTATACTAAGCAACAGTGATACAATACGTTAATTCAACAAATCTATTTTAATTGCAGGATCCAACTTAAATGTGTGCACCAATTAACTCAAATTTATGTCATCGTTACTTAGCACTACAGAATGATGCTTAATAGTTCATTTCTCTCTCTCTCTCTCTCTCTTTTTTTTTAAGACGGATATGACGTAGTATTTGTGTTGACAAAATAAGGCTAAGGTCCTCACTTTAGTGTTGAGAGCATTTTTCAATCAAGAATGTAGTTGACATTGTTTGCAATGTTCCATTCTTTATCAATTTCGTAGTGGTCGACATTGACACCCACCAACAATTTCAATTTTTCAATAATTTGGCCCCCAACCCACCAAAATATTACTAAGTTGTGGTCACATCCAATTCACATGAGCAATATTTAAAACATTATCAATCCTGAAACACTTCATTTTCTTTCCAATATGCTTTTCAATAAGCGTCTTCCAAAAAATAAAAAAGAATTGTTGGATCATCACGCTTGCAAGCACCTTCACTAAATTCCACTAAAATGGCTAATTGTCTTGATAACCATCAGAAGCAAGCCATTATCGTTCAATGGATTGACTTCTTTTAATATCAAATTATTAATAAGAAGAATTTATTTTAATAGGCATCGAGTTAAATGGCGTGTAATGAGAACATCTTAATCATACAAAATTAATATTAAACTAACCATGTATTTTATTTCAAAATAAAATCAATATTTAAATGTGTAGTACAAAATATGTTTAATCACAAGTAGTCGTGTCGAATTATCTTGTCTTCATTATCTGAAAAGTGAGGAGGGATAACATGAAATAAGTTAAAGCCCAATAAACAAACTCTACGCATACTATAATATGCATACGAGTAATGTTATTTAGCATCGCTGGTCTTACAACACTAGTTTAGGTAACGCTAGTTGTCATTAAATGAAAGATGCAATTAAGTGAATCACACGATTTCATTTTTAACCACACCTATTACATAGTCCACATAAATTGGTGTTATACTACCACCGATATTAAATAACATTTTCTATGCATATGCATTATTTTAAAATAGATTTTCCCAATATATCCCATTTTTTTTCCATTTCTTTAAAAACTTTTAGTGTATCGACTTGCCAATCAGAATGCAACGGTCCATTGTTATTTGGAACCCGTTAATTCTACCGGTAGTACTACAAACATTATATATTCAACAGTAAACATTGATCGGATGCGTTGATCCTCACATCCCATTTTTCACTCACACCTTTCATGGCATCTTGACATACATCTCTTTACAAAATATTCAAGATACAAGTCTTTTTAAAAAATTCCTTGCTTTGTTGACATTTGAAATTTATTTTTATTTCTTAAAACTTCATGTATACTCATAAATGCATGGACATGCATGAATATGTCTTGAGAAACGTTAATGATATACATTATAATAATCAAAAATCATATTCACAAAATAGTAAATTTAACAACGTAATATAGCATGAATATAATGAAATGTTTACTTACCTTGTGTCCTTATCAAGTTATTTTTCAAATGACAAAGTGGAGATGTTTCTAACAACGTGTCAAGAGTCCTAATACACGAGATTTTATTGACGTATTTTAACACAACCAATCTATTCTATCATTAATTATTGACAAATAAAATATAAGGAACTCTACGTTGACAAGGTTATTTTGGAATGAGGTGTATACAGCGCAAGATCCAAATTCCAGTAGAAGAGAAGCAGAAGATGAAAACGAGTCCGCGTACTAGACTTCAGAGTGCAACTGTGGCCCTTTTTTCTTAAAGGTTTTTGACTTCTTCCCTAATTGTATCTACATGTGATTCAACTAATTACAAGCCTATTCAATCCGACTCAAGATCCCAAATCTCTTGATTAGTTGTTAATCAAGTTAAACTATATATTTTTTCTAGGATAGAATTATGAGTGTTTTCAAGGACATGTGTAGGTTCTATTCCAAAAATAGGACAAGTTCAAAGCACATAATAAAATATATTTTATAGTTTAATCTATTCTTATACAATTCTGCTACTTGTACAGTTTTTAGTGGACTGTACATTTACAACTCACACTAATTAGTGTGAGCTCCACTAATTTATTTTATAGTTTAACTTATTCTTATACAACTCAGCTACTTGTACAGTCTTTAGTGGACTGTACATTTACAGCCCACTAATGACTGTACAAGGGGATTAATTCTTATAAAAATTATAAACATACTAAATTTAAACTAACATAGACGTCACAGTCTAGAGCGTTCAATGACATTCCACAGTGAAAAAATATAATTAGTCACGATAAAGATAGTTATATTAATTAAACAGTAAATATAACTTTAATACATAAATAAACATGATAATTATGAAAAGTAAGTTTATAATTTCCTTCTTCTGTTTCTTCTTTCTACCTAATCAACCACCATATCACCAACCTGCCACCCCGCTCCTCTTCGCACTCATTTTCCATCCCCTCTCAGAGCGTTGCTACTCCCCTCTCCCGACTTCCAATGCCAACCCCTTTTTTCCTTGTCATGGTATAACTTGTTTTGGTTTTATTTAGAGAATAACATAAAAGATTTGAACAGAGCAAAATTAGGGTCAATTAACTAGCTAAAGACACCTTATTGACAATTTTTTTTTGGTCAACTGTCAATGAAAAATTGACAAGTGTCCCCCATATGAACCCTGACAAAATCCATTGTACATGTAGTAGCTCTCCTTCAATTTATATGTACATCTCATCTAATCTGATTAGAAGATTGATTCTATCAGTTGACATAAAAGTTTCATTATGTTTGAGTTTTGACTTGTTAAAAGTTAGGATTAATCTACTTGTACATAGGTATGTACATAAGCGTGTACATAAT